GAAAATTTATGAAACAAAAATTGCAAACTGTTTTTATTTGTAGATGATATGGTAGAAACTCCTAAAAGGTCATGATAAAAATAGCTCAAAAAATAAAATAGTTTAGGAAGGTAGAGAGTTGAAAATTAGCAAATACAAATCAATACCTTCATAAAAACAAATAATAACAAACAAATAAATAAATAAATAAATAAATAAAAACAAATAATAAATACCCTAATGGCTCCCTTTGATACAGAGATTCTGTGGTCCACTATCAGTATTCACCTGATTCATACACACAAGTCTATTTGGGTCAAGGTCTCTAAGATACCTAATGGGATCCAACCAGTATTTGTATTTGCCTCCCATCATCCCTTCTCATTTCTTCCTCAGCATTCTTATCCCTGGCTAATATCCACAGCCTACTGTTGAGCTCAGTAATACTGTCTCTGAAACAAGAACTGCTAACAGTGCACTGGCAAGGATTGGACTCTGACTGGATCTCTGAATACAATAGACCCATCCTTATATCATCCAGAGTTTCAGTACTTTGTAGAACATTCCTTAACTATTTCAAATACATATATACAATACATCGTCCCCTCCCCCCCAAAAAAAGCTCAACAAACCTCTCTCATTACTAAAATACTACAGTTTTTTTGGTAAACTGAAAAATGTTCTGAATCTGTTGGTGTAGAGCTTTTCTAAAGTCTATGGGAAATGTGAGATTGTTCCTCTTCAGAATTTTCTAAAATGACTCTTGTTATCTTTTACAGAACAGGAAAGCCACAGACAGAATAAGTCTAGGATAATATTTGTGAAATTTGTTTCTAGTAATATCTTGCCCTCCTTTCCTATGTCTTCCTGAATAAATGGACTATAATTTGTTCATGATTGCCAGGTGGATTTTGTTAACCAATCCATCAAACTGGTTCACATTGAAGGTTAGGAATTTTGTATACTACTCCCCAAGGAATACTTAAAAAACAGACAAACAAAAATGCATAGTAAGAAATGGATATCGATGCTGAATATTAGGAATTTTGAAGAGGCCGATTTGAGAGGTTGGGATTCTCAGATGCTCTTTAATCACAATTTTTATGGTTGTCTTCTTTTTAAGCAAAGGACTGATTACTGACATTTATGGTTGTTTACTAGGACAATCTCTGTCAATATTATGTACATATCTGTATAGGAATTTGTATTTTGGGAAAGAGACATAGATCTTCACTTTCATTAGACACTTAAAAACTGATGAATTCAGATATTATTAAGTCAATACAATAAAACCACTGAAGAGAAAGGGGAAGCTATTATTGAATTTCTGACAGAATGGTTCTTTGGCAAAATAAAGAGAATCCCCAGACTTGAAGGATGTAAATCTGTATGTAAACCTATATATCATAAAATAAATAGAATTTAGTCCCCAGTACAATTGATAGGTATTTAGCAGATTAGTTATCTCCAACATTGAATTTGACATGCATTTAGGAGAGATTTTTCAAAAATTGTTTGTTTTACATATCATCTCCGCAAAGGGGAGCGGGCTCTTAGATATCCCATCAGGCATCCACTTTGTAAAACACAAAAGAAACTTTTACAAATCAATCTTTCTAAAATTACCTTTTGAAGTCTGGAATAAAGCGCAGCTGGCCCCATCTTCTTTGGTTCTGTCTCAGTGGCAGGTCAGAAGATTTGAGAATTGAAGGGCTTTTTCAATTATACAATAAGCAGCAGCTTTCCATGAAAGCACAAACGCCATCATCTAAATATATGCTAGGTATTCTTATAAATACTTGTAAGAAGTAAATCTTTGATTCATTTATTTCTGATACTGGTTTTGTGATTCTCAAGTGTTGTATTAAATACACCTATCAGTTCCTAAAATGCTTATATATTCTTCCTTAAATTTGTTCCAAACTTCTTCACCTTCAGAATTCTTTCCTGGGTTTATAAAAATTAACCCAGACCCTAGTTATACACAGTGTTTTCTAATGCTTTTTGGGAACTTCTAGGACTAACATGTACTGGCTCCTGTTCGTTGAACAATTTGAATGTGTCAGTGGAATAGTATGACATTTGAGTAGAAATATTATTAACATTGTTTAAGAAAAGCAGAGCTGGGCAGTAAAGTGGTAAAAATAGATTTTACTCAGGAAATACTGCAATAGGGTAAAGAGAACTTCCTCAGTCTAGAATTGCGCTCAACTCCAAATACAGGGACAAGTGGAAATGTATAGCCAAGGAGCGAGTTGGGGATCGGTGGATGGAAAATCACTAAAGGGCAAGGGGATTCTGGTTGAATAAACTTAATAGGATTCTTGCTGAAGGTAGGTCAAAGTAATCATGGGGGTTGGATATGAGGAACTTGATCAGCTATTAAGGGTGACCATATATCAAATGTGGAGAATTTTCTCCAAACTGACTTAGTAGGACTCCCACTAAAACTTGGCAAAGCAGAGATGAGCATGGGTGCCTGAAGGTCATGGCCTGGTTTAGAAGGAGGCTTCAGAGGAGCCTGATGAAGGTTTGGTCAAGGAGAGCCTTTGTTAGTATGATATAAAAATGAAGGAGAAGGTGAAGGCTGTGCTAGGACACAGGCTAAAGTCATGCTCAGAAGTGGAAAGTCCTTCCTTTCGAAAGTCTGAGAACACAGCGCAACTGGTTGGACAGTGGTGGAATTCAAGCCTGAAGAGATACGATGGACCCATGAAGGACCACATTTCTCTTTATCCTAATAGTTGCTGACATATGAATAACCAGATTTAAAAAAAAAAAAAAGATGACTCTGGTGTCACTATGAAGGTTAATGGAAGGTAGAGGAGATAGCTACATAGAAATTGATTTTGAATCTATGGCAATAGGGATTTAAAATGTAAGATTCTAAACTACAGTAATACCAGAAAGAATTAAGACGTATTTGGAAGATATTTTGGAGGTAAAATGAAAATTCATGGAGACTAGATGGAAGATATGAGAGGGGAAATGTCCAACGACATCTTCAAGATTTTATCCTAGATAACTGATTATCGTAAGATGAATATGAGACTCTTGCCATATAGTGAATAGGTGTATAACTCTTTGCCTTGAGTAGAGTGGAGAATCTCCTCATTTTAGTTCTAAAGTTACCACATCTGAGCTATCTTTGAAGTTTAGTCAATTAACTAGCCACACCAAGTGTTCACTGGGAGGCCAGGCCTCCAAACCAACCTCTGTACTCTATCTGGGAGTAAACCAGCTGGCAGTAAGAGACAGAGGAGAATGCTCTTTTTAAAACTCACAACCAGGGGTGCCTGGGTGGCTCAGTGGGTTAAAGCCTCTGCTTTCAGCGTGGGTCATGATTCCAGGGTCCTGGGATCAAGCCCCGCTCTCCCCGGGCTCTCTGCTCAGAGGAGAGCCTGCTTCCTCCTTTCTCTCTGCCTGCCTCTATGCCTATGTGTAATCTCTGTCAAATAAATAAATAAAATCTTAAAAAAAAAACCAAAAAACTCACGAACAATGTTTTCCAAATTCTCCTTGATATCTACTTAATAAACATATTGCTTTCAGTTTGTTTACCTGAAATATTCTAACTCCTAAAGCCCCCTGTAAGAAATGTTCATTTGTATTTCAAAAATTTACCCTAAACTGTCAAGTTGAGTAATACATTCATATGGAGACTTCCCTTGTCAATGCAAAGACAGGAAGTAAACACTATCAAAGTGTAAACAGAAATTCTTTTTTCACTAGGTCAGGTTCTGTTTCTTTGTGTTTCTCAGCAAGGTTGGACTAGTGCCCTGTACAGGTTTGTTGAATTTAACTGTCTTCTCTGTTTTAAACATTGGCTGAAGCATGAACACATTGTTAAAGGAAACCAGAGCTGGACAGTGAAAAGGTTAAAATAGATTTTATTTGCAGTAAGGTAAAAAAGAATTCATTATAGAACTGGGCTCAACAGGAAATACAACAAGGAAAAGTGGGTATTTATAGGCAAGGAGTGCTATGGGCATTGGGAGATGGAAAATTACTAACAGGAGCCATCAGGAGTAAGGGAATTCTTGCCAAACAGACTTCAAGGGATTCTTGCTGAATGCAGGCCAGGAGATGAGATAACAAGGATGAGAGATTCCCACCAACATGACTTAGCAGGATTCTTGCTACCGCTGGACTACGCAGGTCTAGCAAGGGCAGGGACCTAGGTCAGATTTTAGTTGAGAGGAAGACTCAGGAGAGGCTAACTAAAGTGATCAGGGAGTCTTTGTCTCACACACACACACACAGAGGGAGGGAGAAAAGGAAGAGATCTACTATGCATGAATTCCTTTTACAAGTTTTGTTGCCTTACTTCAGCATTCCATTTATCTCCTAATAATGGTTATTTATATGAAGAAACTATAATAGAAACATTATAAATATCTCATAAAATTATTGATTTGAAAAGAATATGGAGAATTTGGAGGAAATACCCCCAAAAAGTAATGAAAATTAATAAAGGTACCTAAATAACATGGATCAGGCAAAATAAAAGTAACAAATAATTTTAACTAAAAAGCTAAGTGTAAAAACTCATATAATCACGTACCTTAATAAATAATAGAGACCTCAGAGATTATCTCCTTATTTTCAAGGTGAAGAAGGTAAGTAATTCCCAGAATATGTATAGGACCTTTAGCGAAAAGTTCTTCTCAACCAATACCAACTGTTACACCAAAGCAAACCAAGAAGGATCCTATAGCTATTTTATATTTTCATTATGTTAAGACTTCTTATTTTCACTACAATGCAATTTTTATTAAAATACACCAAAATTTTTGACATATTTATTCCAGAGAAGTATCTGACATTATTTTCCTTCTTTATAACACTTTTTCTCCCCTAGAACTTTCTCCAACATTTGGTGGTTCATGTTGCATAATTAAGCTAGTCACTCTGAGAAATAAGTCACTAGATCTTATTAAAAGACCAATGGACTACATTGGAGAATAACTTATTGGTGAATCAATGAATTTTTATTAAATTGAATTTATTTTTTTTTCCAGCAATGACAATGCAGTTTATTAGTCACCAGTTTCCTGATTATCATGACCCCACTATTGGTGAGTATAAGCCCCTTTTCTCCTTTAGCCCATAAAAAGGCACTCTAAATAAGTGGCTGACAAATACTGTTGATGTCTATGGAGAATAAGAAATATATTTTATTATGACGCAGTACACATACACATAAATATAGAATATATAAGCCACTACAACACAAGCTTCAAGAAATAATATTTGTCCTTACTTCTTGTTGTGCACTCTCGTATTTTCCATTCTACTCTATTTCTTCCTGATAAATGATGTTTGGAATACATTAAGTTGATTTCAGGATCCACTAATGCACATCTACCTGTTTTTGAAAAGCTCTGCTCTGGATAATATAAATGATGTGATTGTATGCTTATTTGGTCATTTGTTCATTCAGTGTCTGGATCCAGTGTCTGGATCTTCTATGGCAGAATTAGTTAACCTTGTTAATGGTACATTTGGAAAAGACTTCAGATATAGATAAAATTTTGTTCACTATTCTCATCTGGTAGATGAGGAAACTGAGATTCAAAGAGTCGAAGTATTGTTAGAGCCAAAAATCCAGCCATGCTTCATTCTTCCTATATGATTTTCTTTTTATTGTACTAAATGCAAAACCACTGCAATTGGGAACAAGTTTTCTTCCTCTATCAAAGCAGAAAAGATGTCTTTAACATTGCTTTACTCCTGCAAAGAGCTACTCTGAAGGATCAGTTGGAAATTCTCAGAGTCTGCTATAGCACCCCTTGCCTAGAAACAAATTATCATTGAGGGAAACACGTAGTTCTGAACCTCTCTTGGTTGCCTCATTGCCTGGACTGTGAACAATTTTGACTACACACCTCATTCCTTACATTCTATTCCCTTTGTCTGAGAATCTCCTACCATCACTTCCAACAGGTATGATTCTCTAATTCTTATTTTGCTCATCAGGTGATTTTAATTCAAGGTCCTACTATGTATATAAAATGTTATCTTATATGGTATAGGATATTTGCCTGAAAACCTATGCTGAAATGAGTAAAATGTACCCATTTGAAATGTCCCACGATTCAGCCAGACTTCTTTAAGAGTTGAACCAATTAGTAAGATTTCAATGCAGGAAATTTATGCATTGTTAGTCAGAAAGCACTTCCTCAAGAAGTTGAGTTTTGTTTCTGCAGAGAAAATCACTTTGTAAAGTTTTAGAAGCAATTATCTAAATCCATTTGCCAAATATCTTGCTCCTGGAATGCTGATGACTTTGCATAACCCACTCTGAATTACAGAAGAGGAGAAATCTCTAGGGAAAAGCCCCGACTCTTTTATCTTGTTGGAAAATTCAACAGTACAATATATCATTTATGCTATCACAAATTCACTCTTGTTCATTATTTTTCATCATCGTTTAAGCTTTATATGGGTTCATGTTTGAAAAAGCTACCTTGCTCACCAACCGCTCCCATCTAATGGCTTGAATAGGGCAATATATGTGAATAAATTATAAATGGCTCTTTCAAGAGGAAAAAATGAGAAGAATATGATGATGATTTCTTTAGATTTCCATGAAGTACATCCATCATTTGAAATTAAGCTAACTGGACATTCTGTACTAACAGACAGCTAAAATCATACCTTTATCTGGTTATAAATAAAAAAGGTTTAGAGGAAGAAGTTTGAAAGTGGAGACACAGAGCACTTTATTACTATCAACTCGATTTTCCCATCATTTCATTTCTTGTCTTCTTTAATGAAAATATTGGTTAGTAATTTTCCATTGGTATCCTGTTTGAGGAAGGTAAAAGTCTTAATAATTTACTTTTCATCTGCTCAAGCTATGTAACTATAACTCAGTCTAGCTGATTTAATGACCCCTCAAGAGGAAATTCGTAGTACTACATTTTTTTTTTTAAGATTTGTTTATTTATTTGACAGAGTGAGAGACAGTGAGAGAGGGAACATAAGCTGGGGGAGTGGAAGAGGGAGAAGCAGGCTTCCAGCCCAGCACAGACCCCAGTGCAGGGCTGGATCCCAGGACTCCGGGATCATAACCTGAGCCGAAGGCAGACACTTAACAACTGAGCCACCCAGACACCCTATATTACTACATTTTGAAAATCATATAAATTAGAGAGGAATATGCCTATCAAGGATACTTATTTCACAATTTATATAGGAAATGAATATTTTTTCAATTCTGTGTAGATTTGTTTGTCATTCTACTGACTGGGGTTTTTGAAGAGTTTTTCTCTGAAATGTTTGAAGAATTTGCATGGTTTTATTTTCTTCCTTATGTTCATCTTAAAATTATTTTTCTTTGAAATCTACATCAATTCTGAAAGTTTAGATTCCCTTTTTTTACTGACAAAAATTAGGGATAGTATCTGGTACCAATGAATGTTCTACCCAAGGGAGTAATTGCTTTCCTTACTAACTGACAAAATTTTCAATGTCAGTAACCAATGGGTCTAGCATCTGCAAATTCACAGAGGATACCTATGAACAGGATATGGAAAGGTATTGATTCTATTCTTCCATGAGAAGCCCTCACTCAAAAATTAAATTAAGTTCCTTAATTTAATTTAATTAGGTGCCAAATATGGATAAATTGAAGCTTTAATTTAATCTTTAAAATGAGTATCTCTAAGCATTAGACATTAAGTATGGTTTGATTTTTCCATAGTAAAGTAATTATGGAATAATAAGAAGAAACATTTTGACCAAAGTCCTGATGTTCAACCCTTTGTAATAAACACACATGCTATTTTTTAATTAGCAGTAAATCATTAGAGATAACCATTGCATGTAATTCGATCGCAAAAAAATGTAAATGCCTATTTTTTGCCAAGCAATCTGCTTCTCCTCTAGAAAGAAAAGATTAATATAGCACAGTTCAAGCCCTTAAGGAATTTTCAACTCGAAAAGTATTCAGACAAATACACAGATATTCATGCTACCTATGAAGTCAGTTATTACTATTAAAAAGAAGCAAAGCGCTGAGGAGTTTTCAAAGGATGGAGAGGAAGTTCAGTGATACTCTCTTAAAGTTATATTCACTGTGATTTGGATCACAGTTTCCTGTGTTTTAAAAGCCTGCTTGGGTTTCCTGCTGTCCATTCTAAAATTCAGGATTCTTTGAAGAAAGTTTTCAGAGAAGTCTGGATTTCTCAAAGACTTGAGATATCTGAGAAAATGACCCAGGATGGTTTGTTTTGCCATTTCATTTAAATTTTATTGTAATTTGGGGTGCCTGGATGGCTCAGTAATTAAGTGTCTACCTTCGGCTCAGGTCATGATCCCAGGGTCCTGGGACTGAGTCTGACACTGGCTCCCTGTTCAGCTGGAGACCTGTTTCTTGCATTCCCATTTCCCCTGCTTATGTTCCCTCTCTTACTGTCTCTTTCTCTGTCAAATAAAGAAATAAAATCTCTTAAAATAAATAAATAAATAAATTTTATTGTTACTTGCTCAAAATTAAAAATCTTATTATATATAATTTTAATTTTATATCAATTAGATATCAAGTTGTTGATTTTTTTTTTCTGAAATAGAATATGGTGTTCCTTTCCTCAAAACCAACAATGTAAATATCAGGTTCTCATTTATGGACTGTGTATTTAGTCCAAATTATTTATTGATATATTTCTGTGTTGAGAATTGTTTCCTTTCATGCTTTTATTGATAATCAAATGAAGGCAAACATATGAGCAGAGAAAATCAGATAACTTCACTTGGCAAATTATGGAAGATGGAAACAAGATATAGTATCAAATAGTTGCCAGATATTGCTTATTGCTCTGAATAAGACATTTGATACTGGATGGAAAATTCTAAACCATGAAGGATTTGTGTTCTATCAGTTACAGAGTATCATAACTTTGATCAGGTCATTTACATAATTAGCAATTATCTCTCACTGTCTTCAAAGACTATTGTTTTGGCCTCCTTCTCTGCAAGCCTCTAAAATTTTATCATATATATATTTATCATATATATTTTATCATATATATATATATATCTATATATATATTTAGCACCTGTTCTGTGCCAGGTACCATGCTCTGCATGCTCTACATGGATAAATAGAGATAAAAACACAAGCTGTGCTTCCAAAGCACTCCCAGTTAGGTGGAGAAGATAAATCAGCAAACAAGATCATGCACTGAGTTCATGAAATAGAAAATCACAAGGTGCAGAAGAAGAACAATGTGGGCATATCTCACCTGACCTGAATACATGTAGAGCAACTCTTCTCCATACTGAGTTTTGAAGAGTACATAGGAGTTAGGCAATTGAAGAGGAAGGAAGAATAGACATTCCCAGAAGAGCAAAAAATACCCAAGAAAGACAGTACAGCATATGACTGAGATGGGGGAATGTCTGGAACCAGAAGTCCTAAAGATGAAATAAATGATATAATGTGCAGAGCAGCAAGAGGGACGTAGATTTTCAGGGATCAGGTCTTTAAAGATCTTGTACAACTGATCAAAGTTTTAAATACCTACCGTCTTGTGCTCTTGCCTGAGATAAAAATAAATACTATTGACAGGCCGCTGAAATTTTACATTTAGATAGCTCTAAGGAAGATAAAAGTAAACATGCCCCAACTGTAGCTAATAACTGATTATCCTTAGTAGACTTTTACTTCCTTCAGGATTATTTATAATGGTAAGCCCCTTTATCCATGAGGATATCATGCCAAAAACCCAACAGGAATTCTTGATACCTATCTCAACTTGTCTATATTAATCATTCACTGAACTCTGATGTTGCTGCCTCCTAAAAATATCTTGAACCTGTTGCCATCTCTCCATAACTTCTGTTGCTTCTTATTCTAAGCTACACTCCATTTCCGACTTAGACTTTCTCTTCCATTGTTTTTTTACACAGAATCCAAAAACATCTTCAAAAACACAAATTTGGGGGTGCCTGGGTGGCTCAGTGGGCTAAAGCCTCTGCCTTCAGCTCAGGTCATGATCCCAGGGTCCTGGGATCGAGCCCCACATCAGGCTCTCTGCTCAAGCAGGGAGCCTGCTTCCCCCGCTCTCTTTCT